AGTTGTTTTTCAACCTAAGTCATGACCTCTGGAACTAATTAACGACATAGGGTGAAATAACCTGTATTGTGTTTCTGGGTCCTTCTCCTAAAGTCATCTCACTTTCTTTCACTCCCAATAACCTATCACGTCTTAGTAGCATTATTGCTTTGTTTGGGATGAAATGATTAAAATACATATTACATTGAAAATACTGCTGTTATTTGGTTTGGTGTTCCTGCTGTATATCTTGAGATTCTTCACCAGAATTCAAAGGATATGTAATGTTATTGATCCTGACCTGGCATCTTGACTGCAGTCACTTTCTCATCGATGTGACATGGCTTCCCTCTTGTCTTTTCTACAAATATTTTCATGGTGACTGCTCTGATGAGCTTTTTTTCCTGGTGCACTGACTACATGAATTTAAGCATGCTACTAGATTGGCAACTAGGTCCCATTATTTTACTGTTGTACTAGCCACTTTCACTCTTTCTCTCTCTCTCTCTCTCTTTTCTTTCTTTATTACTCTTTTTCTCTCTTTGCTTCTCTTTCTGTATTACCTTTTCATTTTCTGTCTCCTCAACTTTCTCTCTCTAAATCATTATCCTCCTCTCTCTTTCTCGCTATTCACTCTCTCATCCTAACTTTTCCTATCTCTCTGTCATCCTCCCTTCACTCTTTGACTAATTATTGCAAGAAGAGAGCTGATCATTTAAGAGATTAATTGTTTTTCCTGGTGGCATTTTATATTTTTATTGCAAAGTGAATTTGATTAGATTCACGAGAAGCTGAATGCGTGAGGCTGATGGGTGGCTGCGAAAATTGTTCAAACTTTGACTTGGAAAGCAGCCAGTAATTCAGTGCAGATTATTTTGATTGCTGACAATTGACACACGTGCTTGGAAATCAGAATAAATTTGAATTTGTTTCTTTTATTCCATTATTATTATTATTATTATCATCACCTTATTGGCTGTTTGATGCAATCCTTTAGCAAGTCTTTTAGCTGTAATCTGAGGTGAAGGAAGGTTTTCCTTAGTCATTGAATATGTTAGGTTGAGAGAGTTTTTCTCATTTTGTGAGCTGTGCTCATGATCACATTGTTATTATTATTATTACTATTATCATTATTATTAAAATAATGATCACTTGAAAAGAAATGAAGAAGAAAAAGAAACGTGTCAATAGGACTGAATAATCATAATAAAAACAAGGGTACTTGAGTCAGTAACAATTAATTAATAATTTCATAAGAGAGAAAACTATTTAAAATGTTTCTCTTATGAGAAAGTCTTGGTAAATGATTGCATCTCAGAACAATTTAAAAGAAATAAACACCACCACCACCAACAACAACAACAATAATAATTGTAGCAGCAGTGCTAAATTATTAGAGAGATTTGGTGTCACTTGATCCTTAGAAAAAGAAAATAGAATTGATTGTTTTAAAACACATTATATTTGGTTGGATTGATGTGAGTTTGTGACCCTGGGTTTCATGCTTTTGCAATCGTTAGACAAGTATGTTAGCTCTGTCTATGATATTGAGCGCTTTTTTTAAGTATAAAATATAATATATAAATAAATTATATATATATATATATATATATATATATATATATATATATATTCCTATTTATATTTCTACACTTTTTCATATATATATATATACAAATCCAAGTGTAAGATAAGTTAGTCTAGACATTATATTTTAAAAAAGTGCTCAATACAAAGGTGGAGCTGAATATTTATTAACTATTATAACAAAAAACATACAGTGTCAAAACATGATTGTATTTATGTAGCAGTTTATTATGTTTTGTCGTAATTGTTTATATAATATATATATATATATATATATATATATATATATATATATATATATATAAGTAATCAAGTATAGGTCAATTATTTTATTTTTTATTAAAGTTCAAATCATTACAAGAATCAAGAGTACCCCAAGGTAGAGGGTGATTGATTATTGTGCGTGATATGCATATCAGAGGAGTAAGTAGGAAGTGAAACTTCAACCACAGACCACTTCACCCAGGATAAGATATCTTATGGCCCCACCAATCGATATCACAAATCCATTCTCTTTAACATGGCATCTACTAGGGGAGGACTGACATTGAAAATAAATTTAAAACAATGCTCCTAGACAGACACTTAGAGACTGTTTTTTTTGCTGTAAAATGTATTAGTAAAGTATAGGTAATTATTTTATTTTTTATTAAAGTTCAAGCCATTACAGTGCTCAAGAGTACCTCAAAGTAGAGGTTGATTGATCATTGTGCATGATATGAATGCCAGAGAAATAAGTAGGAAGTGAAGATGAGAAACAAAATTAAATTCCTTTCAATATTAATAGAGATCATTCTTGATAAAAACATTTAATAATATAATTGTAATAATAGAAACAAAATAATAATTGTTATTATTATTATTACTATTATTATTATTATTATGGTCATGTGAAAAGGTACTGAAGTATAAGAAAACGTAGTGTGTCGATAGGACGGAATAATCATAATAAAAACAACAATACTTGAGTTGGTAAAAATTAATAATTAATTTCCTAAAAGAAAAATATTTAAAATGTTTCTCTCAGTAGAATGTCTTCACAAATTATTGCATCTAAGAACAATTTCAAAGAAATAGACAACAATAATGCTAATAAAAATAATAATAATGATAATGATAATAATGATCGTAGCAGCAGTGCTGGATTTTAAAGAGATTTATTGTCACTTGATCCCGAGGAAAAGGCAATAGAAATGATTGTTTTTAAACACACTGGCATTCATCAGTGACGAATATAGTGGGGATTGTACTACTAATTGTACTACTACTACTAATATTGGGTTGTCCAGAAAGTTCATGCCAATTTTTAGTCGCTCATGTTCCAACATGTTCCAAAATTTTCTTTCAAATAATTTCTATTTTTCCAAGTACCTTCAATATTCTCTGAGACCATCTTCAGGGGTTGTATATCTATAGATATGTTTGGCATTAACACCATAAAATTATTTGAAAGAAAATCTTGGAATTTTTCTCGATCAATTTTCTACAGCTACCAAGAAATTAATTTGTGGACTTGAAAGGACTAAAACTAAAATAAACAGACATAATACATTTAAATTATTTGTCCGAACATGCTTGAATGAAAATATGCTACTTGAAATATATATATATATATATATATATATATATAAAAATGTGTGTGTAAGTTTTTGTAGTCATTTCACTTCAAGCAATAAAGCCACTAAGATGCAAGGGGTTACTGAGTGTGAAAGAATATGAGAAAAAGAAAAACATTAAGGAAAGAGAACAAGAAAAGAACAGGAATTAAGAAGACAAAAAAAAATGATTCACATTGCATTTAAATTTTAATTGTTTCTCTCCAAGCAAGGCAATAAAGCCACTAAGACACAAGGAGTTACTGAGTGTGAAAGAATATGAGAAAAAGAAAACCATTATTAAGGAAAGAGAACAAAAAAAGAACAGGAATTGAGAAGACAGAAGATAATGATTGATATTGCATTTAGATGATGAGAGTCTTATCTGTCAATCTAGTACTGCACTTAAATTCATCAAGACTAGATAACAAGAAGGGAAGCTTGTAATAACTATTTATCTATTTAATTAAGTAATATAAATACTTATTTTAATGTTTATTTGATGTAATTTATTTATATTATAGACTTTGAACAAATATCACACTAAAGTTATAACATAGAAAATTATCTTAAGATGTCTTAATAGCAAAAACTAAGGAGAGATGAATAAATGTTCATTTTATTATGTTATATAAAACTAGCAGTAGAGCCTGGCGTTGCCCGGGGATATAACAGTAAGAGATAGATCAAGAATTGACCATCATAAAGACTGAAAAAATAAAATTGACAAAGATTATTGTTTAAGGTTGATGGACACGCATGTCTTAATTAGTTTTATTTTTTTTTTTTTTTTTTTTTTTTTTTGAATTGGTCAAACCCAAACTCAAAAAAAAAAATATTGTTTTCAATCATTATGAGTCTACTGATTGAATAGAATTTTATTATAAAAACAATTGTCTTGTAAATGGAATTTTTAAAGCATTCTGAATGTATAAATAAAGAAAAAAAAAGTGTAAGACAATAAAAACACTACCTGCCAAAAAAAAATTTTTTGTTGAAATCGGTTGAAAAATGCAGGAAATTCATGATCCCATATATAAAGGAACACACACACACACAACACAAACAAACAACCTGTGTTTTATAATAAAAATAACTTTTTATGAGTTGTCCCTTTCATTCTATTAATGACTCTTAATCGTGTTTTCAATTGATCTTGTGCAAAAACAATTGTGTTTTTCCAATTTTGGCACTGTCAGAACCACCACAAAGGTAATTTACGCAGTCCTGTGAAGTTTTGTTGAAATCGGTTGAAAAATGTAGGAAATCCGATCCAATATATAAATGTACACACACACACACACACACACACACACACACACACACACACACACAACCTGGGTTTTATAATAAGTATGATGTTAGAGAAAATCTCACTTGTTTGTAATAACAATCACTTTGAGTTTATTTGTTATCATTGATCACTTTCTTTCTTTGTCATATTTTCTATTTGTAGTCATTTAGTATTGATTTAGTATTGATTAGACATAAAGACAACCAGCTACTATGAAATTAACGACCTTATAGATTACTCTAAAAATGTCCAGAGGATGTACTTATCAACTTTTAGTTTTTTAATCGTTTTATCCCAAGCAAGGTGATAATGCCACTAGGATGCAGGGGGTTACAGGGAGTGAAAGAGAATGAGAAGTCTTTAGTGATTGAGGAAAGGATAAAAACAAACAGAGGTCAAGAAGACAGAAGATGGCAATTGATGTTTTATTTAAATTTTTGCAAATTGTAGTTATCAGGGAAGGGAAGAAATCAGAAGGGAGTTCCACAGGTGAGAAGTGTGAGAAAAGAAACTTAGAGTAGAAGTGGTGATTATGCTAACAATACATGGACAGTGAATTTGACTTGTGCTTTTTGTTCACCATTGGTGCTATAGGTCAGTGTTCAAGTCGAGTTGAAAGCAATGATTTTGAATGTTGGTTTTCAAGGCAGGCAGGCCCTTGCCACCTTGAAATTTGGTGCAGCAAAATCTTCATACTTTTGTGCTCCTATACATGTTAGAAAGGGAAAAGGAGTTAGGAGTAGTAAAGAGGTGTATGTTCATCATGAGGAGAGTACTACACTCAATCCTTCAGGGCATCTTTTACAGTAAGCTTGATTACTTTTTGATGATGACTCATTAAGATTAAGGTAGTTTAGCACAAGGTCATAATAAAATGAGACCTTCTAAGATGAACTAGGCTTTTTTTGTTAGATGAGTTTGTTAATCATACTTATAAAACCCAGGTTGTATGTGTGTGTGTGTGTCTGTACGTTTATATATTGGATCGGATTTCCTACATTTTTCAACCGATTTCAACAAAACTTCACAGGACTGCGTAAAATTACCTTGTGGTGGTTCTGACAGTGCCAAAAATTGGAAAAACACAATTGTTTTTTGCACAAAATCAATTTGAAAACACGATTAAGAGGCATTGCAAGAATGAAAGGGGGGACAACTCATATCAAGTTATACTTATAAAACCCAGGTTGTTTGTGTGTGTGTGTGTGTGTGTGTGTGTGTTCCTTTATATATGGGATCGGATTTCCTGCATTTTTCAACTGATTTCAACAAAACTTCACTTTTTTTTATGGCAGGTAGTGTTTCTTATTGTCTTGCACACTTTTTTCTTTATTTTTACATTCAGAATGCTTTAAAAATTCCATTTACAAGACAATTGTTTATAATAAAATTCTGTTCAATCGATAGAGTCATAACGATTGAAAACAATGTTTTTGTTTCAGTTTGGGTTTGACCAATTTGTAAAAAAAAAACAAAAAAAAAAAACTAATTAAGACATGCGTGTCTGTCAACCTTAAACAATAATCTTTGTCAATTTTATTTTTCTGTCTTTATGATGGTCAATACTTGATCTATCTCTTACTGTTATATCACCGGGCAACGCCGGGCTCTACTGCTAGTTATTAATAAAAGGCAGCAAATCTGGCTTACAATATTGTGTGTATGTTTGGTTGGATGTGTGGGTGGTGTAATAGATAATTGCTTGGAATTGTTAATTAAAGAGCTGAGTTCCAACCTTCGGAAAGGTATGAATTCTTCTTCTCTCCCTCCAGTTATGGGTTAATTAGTAAGACTTGTATCTGTAAATCATTATCTCAAAAAAAATTCTTACAATCTAAAAATATTTTTTGGCTTTAAATAACCTCCAAAAGCTTGATAAACTGTAAAAAAAAAAATCAATCAACTTCCATACATCCATCTTGCAAGAAGCAATAATTTCATTTAACTGGCGGCATTGCCTGAACATAAGTAGTGCAAAAATGAAGCAGCAGTGTTCAGCATCTTTGGAAAGAGTCTGAAAACCAAACTATGAGTTGACTCAAACCTTGTGAGTGAAATTGGGTAGACGGAACTGTTTGGAATCCATCTATGCTTGTGTTAGCACAAAGTCAGAAGTCATCGTGACTGAGGCTATGGGTGTACTGGCATTGTTCTATGCTGATCATGGCAAAACATGTGCTGCCTCTCAGAAACTGTAACTGAGGTCTACCAAGCATAGTTGGAGTATAAACTACATTTGAGCTCTGTGGGTGTTCAACAAACACAAATGTCCCTGAATAGGTCTCTGTGACAGGGATTGTCTAGGCACCCTCCCAGACTGTTATGTTTAGAAAAAGTGATTAGCCTGCTATTAAATTACAGGAAAACCCATGAGGAGGATGAACAGACTTTACCAAACAAGCCAGGCCCTGTACAAAAGAACTTAGTTTGCCACATCTTCAATAAACATTGCAAGCCACTTGCAGGCTTCAAGAGTCATTTCTGTTCTCATGAGAACCAAAATATTGATCGAACTTGTCAGCAATGGTCATACTCATTTAAGGAGGTTACAGCCATCACTTATGTGTCTATTTATTCAACTCTATTAACATCTATCTATCTATCTATCTATCTATCTATCTATCTATCTATCTATCTCTGTCTAAGGAGTTGACAGCCATCATGTATATATGTATGTATGTATGTATGTATCTATTTATCCAAGTCTATTAACATCTATCTTGCTAGGTTGCATAGCCTTTTATATCAAGTCACTTCATATCTATCTATCTATCTATCTATCTATCTATCTATCTAAGGAGTTGACAGCCATCATGTATGTATGTATGTATGTATCTATTTATCCAAGTCTATTAACATCTATCTTGCTAGGTTGCATAGCCTTTTATATCAAGTCACTTCATCTATCTATCTATCTATCTATCTATCTATCTATCTATCTATCTATCTATCTATCTATCTATCTAAGGAGTTGACAGCCATCATGTATGTATGTATGTATGTATCTATTTATCCAAGTCTATTAACATCTATCTTGCTAGGTTGTTAGCCTTTTTATATCAAGTCAACATATCTATCTATCTATCATTCTATCTATCTATCTATCTATCTATCTATCTATCTATCTATCTATCTAAGGAGTTGACAGCCATCATGTATGAATGTATGTATGTATCTATTTATCCAAGTCTATTAACATCTATCTTGCTAAGTTGCGTAGCTTTTTAAATCAAGTCAGTTCATATCTATCTATCTATCTATCTATCTATCTATCTATCTAAGGAGTTGACAGCCATCATGTATGTATGTACGTATGTATGTATCTATCTATCTACCTCCATCTCTTCATATCTAAATTTCTGTCTACCTCAATGTCTTCATATCTTTCTATCTACGTCAGTCTCTTCATATCTATCTATCTATCTATCTATCTATCTATCTATCTATCTATCTATCTATCTATCTCCGTCTAAGTAGTTGGCAGCCATCCTGTATGTATATATCTATTTATCCAAGTCTATTGCTAGGTAACTTAACCTTTTATATCTAAGTCAGTCCATAACTATCTAAGTCTGTTCACATCTATCTATCTATCTATCTATCTATCTATCTATCTATCTCTCTCAGTAGTTCTCAGCTAGGGAGCGGGGAATTTGCCTACATTGTGGAATTTTAGGGTTTCAGTGTGAGGAGGGAAAATGTTTTACTTTTTCTTGTTTATTTACAGAATTTAGAGTCCATCATGAGTGTTAAAAACAAAAAAAGAATTCCTCTATAAAAATAATCCACATCAATATATTTGTACTAATATAGAAAAGAATAAAGATTTTCAATAATATATGCATATTATTTGGATGCAGTTTTTTTGGAAAGGGTGGAGGGTGGAATGACATTCCGACTTATGGTGAAAAGGGTGCATTGGGCAAAAAAAGTTGAGAGCCACTGAATTCTATCTTATATTTCAGTTTTTTCATATCTATCTCAAACCTATTAGCATCTATCTTGCTATCTAGCTTAGTCTTTTCATATCTTTCTCAGTCTGTTCATTATCTATTTATCTATCTCAATCTCTACATATCTGTCTATATATATCTATCTCTTTATATTAACTTCTATCTCAGAAGCTACTTAGCTAGGCTTTTCTTATCTATCTATCTATCTATCTATCTATCTATCTATCTATCTATCTATCTATCTAATCCAGTCTGTTCATGTCTATCTATCTTAATGTTCATTATCCATCTATCTATTTGTCTATCTGAATATGTTCATTATCTATCTAGCTATCTTTCTAAATATATTTATTATCTATATCAATATGTTAATTTTCTCTCAGTCTCTTTATTATCTATCTATCTGCTTCAAACGTTCATATCTATCTATCTATCTATCTATCTATCTATCTATCTATCTATCTATCTATCTAAGTCTCTTCACTATCTCTCTATCTCTTCACTATCTATCTCAGTCTCTTCACTATCTATCTCAGTCTCTTCACCATCTCTCATCTCTTCACTATCCATCTCAGTCTCTTCACTATCTATCTCAGTCTCTTCACTATCTATCTCAGTCTCTTCACTATCTATCTATCTATCTATCTATCTATCTCAGTCTCTTCACTATCTTTCTATCTATCCATCTATCTATCTATCTATCTATCTATCTATCTCAGTCTCTTCACTATCCATCCATCCATCCATCCATCTCAGTCTCTTCACCATCTTACTATCTATCTATCTATCCATCTATCTATCTATCTATCTATCTTTCCATCTATCTCAGTCTCTTCACCTATCTATCTATCTATCTATCTATCTATCTATCTATCTATCTATCTATCTCAGTCTCTTCACTATCTATCTATCTATCTATCTATCTCAGTCTCTTCACTATCTATCTATCTATCTATCTATCTATCTATCTATCTCAGTCTCTTCACTATCTATCTATCTATCTATGTATCTATCTATCTATCTATCTATCTATCTATCTATCTATCTCAGTCTCTTCACTATCTATCTATCTATCTATCTATCTATCTATCTTTCTATCTCAGTCTCTTCACTATCTATCACTGTGTTCCTGAGTCTCTTGTTATAAATCATTGATGGTATCTGAGGTTGCCTAGGTTTATTGGTATGAATATGTTTGAATATATTCGGTATAATATCTATAGCTATTTTAATGTGTGTGCGGGTGTGTGTGGAAACATTGTTTTCCTCTTATAGAATTTCCTCCCATAGAATTTCCCCTTAGAGACAAAAATCAGTCTATTGGTTGAGTGGCTGAGATCAACATTTGTTTAGTCTCTCAGGAAAAGTCATTGAATAACAAACATCTTTTGGATTTGGTTTTTTTTTCAATACTGACCTATATTGAGTCAAAAAAGGCAAGAAAATAAATTTTTATCAACAAGAAAAATGTCAAGTGAAGGTAAAAAGGCAAAACCGAGAAAAATTCTTTCAAGGACTAGAAAATTGGTTTATTTATTTGGTTTATCTTATTTTGTTTTATGGCATATCAACACTTCAATGGGTTATTTAATGCCACAAGATTTTTAGGATATGTTTGTATGAATAGAATATATATTCTTTGCAAGAAATAAGTTTGTAAATCAAGTTTCATTTTGTAAAGAGGGTTTTTGTTGAGAGTCTGGTTTGGTTTATTTTGTTTTACGGCATATCAACACTTCTATGGGTTATTTAATTCTGACAAGATTTTTTTTAGGTTCACATGAATAGAATATGTATTCTTTGTAAGAAATCAGTTTGTAGATTAGGTTTCATTGACATATTTTTTGTAAAGTGGGTTTTTTGTTGAGAGTCTGGTTTGGTTTATTTTGTTTTTTTGGCATATCAACACTTCTATGGGTTATTTAATTCTGACAAGATTTTTTTTTAGGTTCACATGAATAGAATATGTATTCTTTGTAAGAAATCAGTTTGTAGATTAGGTTTCATTGACATATTTTTGTAAAGTCGGTTTTTGTTGAGAGTCTGGTTTGGTTTATTTTGTTTTACGGCATATCAACACTTCAATGGGTTATTTAATTCTGACAAGATTTTTTTTTTAGGTTCACATGAATAGAATATGTATTCTTTGTAAGAAATCAGTTTGTAGATTAGGTTTCATTGACATATTTTTGTAAAGTGGGTTTTTGTCGAGAGTCTGGTTTGGTTTATTTTGTTTTACGGCATATCAACACTTCAATGGGTTATTTAATTCTGACAAGATTTTTTTTAGGTTCACATGAATAGAATATGTATTCTTTGTAAGAAATCAGTTTGTAGATTAGGTTTCATTGACATATTTTTGTAAAGTGGGTTTTTGTCGAGAGTCTGGTTTGGTTTATTTTGTTTTACGGCATATCAACACTTCTATGGGTTATTTAATTCTGACAAGATTTTTTTTTAGGTTCACATGAATAGAATATGTATTCTTTGTAAGAAATCAGTTTGTAGATTAGGTTTCATTGACATATTTTTGTAAAGTGGTTTTTTGTTGAGAGTCTGGTTTGATTTATTTTGTTTTACGGCATATCAACACTTCAATGGGTTATTTAATTCTGACAAGATTTTTTTTTAGGTTCACATGAATAGAATATGTATTCTTTGTAAGAAATCAGTTTGTAGATTAGGCTTCATTGACGTATTTTTGTAAAGAGGATTTTTTTTTTTTGTCGAGACTCAAATGTACTGCTGGTAACATTTTTTTTCCAAAAATGTATTGCTGGTAATAATTTTTTTTTTTTACAAAAATGTATTGCTGGTAATAATTATTTTTTTTTTTACAAAAATGTATTGCTGGTATTTTTACTATAAAAATATATTTTTACACTTTCATAGTGTTTTACCCCACTTTAGGGGTTAACTATTTGCCCATAGTTGGGAACCTAACAGGTGCTACAACCCTGGGTCAGGGTGGACCTGGTAAAAAAAGCTATTAAGAGGTGGTTCCACGCTCCTCAAAATCTCTTGATCAGAGGCATTGCTGCCAGATAGAGTTTATCATCAAAATGATTTTGAGTTTTAAAAAAATAGGGACGAAAAACAAATTCTTACAGAAATTTAACTTTGACCAAAATATGTCAAGCTTTAAGCAGCACATTGTATGTTTGACAGTCATGCAAGCTAATCATAGTATATTCATTTCATATAAGTATTAGCAACCTATGGTCTTATGCAAATGTGTATATAGTGTAGTGGCTAATGGCATGCAAATCAGAAGTGTCATACTGAGTTCAAATTACATTTGAGTCTGTTGCATTCATTTTCGCACTGAGTGTAAGTCTGCACTTCCTAGCTTTGTCAGTACTTAGAGGAGTAACCACTTGGGAATATCAGGTACTTGAGGATATGTGCGTCATGTAACAGATAGCAGCTCAGAATGTGAAATCAGAGAACTGAGTTCAAACTCAGTCAGCTTTGTTAACTTCCCTTTTGTGAAAATATATCTTGAGAAAGGCATGACACCACTCGTTCTCCTTCCCCCAACTATGGGTTAAATAGTATGATTTGTGTCTGTTAAAATCATTGGTGCAGGTACAAGTCCTTTCCAAATCTTCCAAGATGCACTGAGTCATCATGGACAAGCAAGGCTCCCCTAACTACATGACAATGCTAAATGATATCTGGAAAGTGTTGAGTCATGTGAGTGCACATTTTGTTATTAGCAGAGGCACTGTTTTATGATAGGGAAAGCAATGTATGTTTGCTGTTCAGTTACTTTTGATGTAGACCTACTCTATTAGATTCTTACCTGAATTTTACAGTCTGTTGTGTATCTTGTATGAACTTGACTTCATGCATACTCTCTTGCATCAGAATGTAGTGTATTTAGCAACTGCCCCATGCAGTCATATGTGGCACAAGGCCGAATTTAATGTGGGGTTCCCGAGCCCGTAGGCCAACCAAAAAATCCCTGTAGACCCCACATAAACAGGATCAGGTTGGTCTATCTCCCTGAATGAGACTCTGCCCTTCAGCATAACCTCGTCTGGGTTCCTCTCTGCTCAGAGGCAGAGAGTTTGACCAGCAAGCCGAAAAAGATTTCGGTTAGTCATCAGAATATAATTCAGTTTTGTTTTTCTGATCAAGAAATAACTAAAAAGAAATAACAAGAAGACAAAAACTTCACTGTTTTAAAAAAATGAATGTATAATAAAAATTGCCAGGCACACAAAGCCATAGTTTGACCAACTAGTCAGATACTTTCACAACTAGGATGTAAGAAAAGAAAGAAAATAATAACAAGGAGACCAAAATGTCACCATTTCTAAAAATAGATAGTTTGATCAACCAATCAGAAAGGTATAGATGTGTATATAAACAGATAGAAAATTAAACAAAACCAGGGTTGATGAATTAATTTTGTCCATTCTCCAATGCTGTGGTTATCGTAACATACCCAGAGATGAAATACAACATTTGCAAGACTAGCTGATGAACTTAGATGGCTCACTCATCCTTGCTATGTTGAAAACAAACATACCTTCCTTTATCATGTGATCAAATAGTGGCTGCTACATTTGGATACATGCATACATACATATGTATTTTCTACTAAATCTGTTTTGACATCTACCCAAAAGGATGTTCTACCCCAACCACCACATTAATAATGTTATTTATCATTTTAAATGTAGTTGCAGTGCATAGGTAGAACAACCCAATGTTTAGATGCTAGAATACAGCAGCATTTACCAAGAAAAATCAAGAATGGAACATTCAAACTAAAGGATGTTTCTGAACAACACATATAGTTCCTAGATCGTAGAGCATTTTATTAAAAACCCAAATTGTGCCACTAACTTTAGCATTGACTTGTTTACCATTATGAGTTGTGCTTGCTATATATTGCAGATAAAGATGCTGGAAACAATTTACATTCTGTCCAGACAGCCCTCTCTCTGTAAACAGAGAGAGTGTCTGTTAGGAGTAAACATGATTTCAATTTAAATTGTATTCCGCCTTTATTAATATTGCATATCATTTTTATGCTTTTATTGCAATATATAATCCCTTGATTCAGCTGTGTTGAGTAAGGGTGAAACTGGTTGTCTGCGTTTTGTTTTATTTTTTGCTTTTTTTTTTTTAATCATGAAAAGTAAAATAAGTAACCTTTTTTTATTGCTACAATATATATATATATATATATATATATAAAAAGAAAGAACAGTAAGATATATAATCCAGTGTTCTTATAGATATTTTTATTTTTACAAAATAGTGCTCAATGTAAATTTACAGAGCATTAATATTATAAATTAATTGATTTAAAATATGTTTTTTTCCACTACACAGTTCTAACCAAAAAATGGAAGCTAAAAGCCCTGAATTTAATTTTGTAATTAAATTAAAGACATTAGCTTTATTTCCTCCTCAAGCGAATTTTGGAGTAACTTTTAAAATTAAAATATAGACATATTAAACACCCAGACAACCCCTCGTCTAGTAAAATGAATCCATCTGTAACCTTGGAAACATGAATTATGATTTTAGCTGTGTCTTTTAAAACCCAGTAATTTTAAAAGTTACTCCAAAATTCGCTTGAGGAGGAAATTGAACTAATGTCTTTAATTTAATTACAAAATTAAATTTGGGGCTTTTAGCTTCCATTTTTGAAACATGGTTAGAACTGTGTAATAAAAAAAAAAAAACATATTTTAAAAAAATTAATTTTTAATATATATATATATATATATATATATATATATATATATATATATTCTCATGGACTCTTTCTCTCTCTCTATCTCTCTTATACGCGAGGACATTTACCCTTAAACTCTTGAAATTTCAACTTTTACCTTATCCTTCTCTATTATTGCATTACATTAGATAAAGATTTATTTTGTATTTTTCAACACTGTGCATTTTCTTTTAATTATTGCACAAGGACAATAAACACCCTAATCTGAGCATCATGCCATTGGTAGTTCTAAACTCCTGATAGGGTCACCCATACTGGCAAGGTCAAAGATGAGGACCCAGACTAAGTGTAACTAACCACAAAGATTCCAAAGTGGATGGTGATTAGAACAGATCTCAATGGTTAAACCAGTGGATGAAGAGGGCTACGCATGTT